ATAATGCCCTAACCCCCGTTTATAAAGAGCACCTCTGGCCTCCAACTTCGTGGTCCGCGAAACTTTGGGCGCGGACGCATTTTTGGTGGCTGCACTGCTAGGATTTAGTATTTTGGCCATAACTTTCTCTACAGATGTCCAAATGATGACTTTTTTACCTTTCTGGAAACTAGACACGAAGGGCTAATCATCTCAAAATTCCTTGTAGATCAAAAGATATAGGCTTCCGAAGTCAGACCAGCGAATCTGCAGAACTTCCAAGCACGGTCCGCGAAATTCTGCTACGGTTCGCGAAATTCCAAGCACCAGAACCATACCTGAGTTTCGTAAATGCCCGGATTCGCTCAAAACTCATCCCGAAACACATCCGAGGCCCCCGGGACCTCAACCAAACATACCAACCAATCCTAAAAAACCATACAAACTTAGTCGAACCTTCGAATCACTCAAAACAACATCAAAACACCAAATTACCCTCGGATTCAAGCCTAAGAACTTCTAAACTTACAAATTCGACAACCGATGCCAAAATCAATCAAACCACGTTCGAATGACCTCAAATTTTGCACACACATCACAAATGATACTATGAACCTACTCCAACTTTCATAATTTCATTCTGACCCCAATATCAAATTTTTCACTGCCGACCGAAATAGCCGAAATTTCAACTTTTGCCAATTCAAGCCTAATTCCACTACGGACCTCCAAATCACATTCCGGACGCGCTCCTAACTCCAAAATCACCTATCGAAACTAATGAAACCATCTGAATTCCAATCCGAGGTCAAATACTAAAACATCAAACTTGGTCAACTCTCCAAATTTAAAGCTTCAACAATGAAATTCATTTTTCCAATTCGATTCCGAAATACCTGCAAACCAAAACCGATGATTCACATAAGTCAAAGTACATCATACGGAGCTACTCATGCTCTCAAACAACCGAGCGGATTGCAAATGTTCAAAAGGATCGGTCGGGTCGTTACATGTAACTTCACTAATTTTCTTTTGGAAAGTATTGAATGATACTTGTTTATTAAGCAGAACAAGTTTTGTATCATGATCCAAGTATTTAAAATCAAAAGTCCACCTCCCATTGAAAGTAATAACAAGGCAAATCGAACTCATCCCGCAAAAGCATGTTTAGTGTCAAGTATTAGGAAACTGAACAAAAGAATTTAAATGTGAAGTTCATAAAAAATTCATTAGAAAATTACATATTGCAGGAGAAAAACTTAAGCACGTTTAAGCTAAAGTTTTAGCAAATGTACTAGAATACTTCATCTTGTTTATATTAAAGTTTTTGAAAAAAAAAAGCTTATGAAAAAGTTGTTTAATACATGACAAAACTTAAGCATGAACTAAATTTAACTTCAGCATGCAGGAGATAATTACATAGTGTAGGAGGAAAACTTCAACAGGTTTGTCCTGAAGTTTTTACAAATGAACTAAACAACTTCGGCATCTTCTGCTGAAATTTCTGAAAAAGCTCATGACAAAACTATTGAATCTAGGACAAAACTTCAACATATTTAATGCTGAAGTATTAGCAAATGAACTAAAAAACTTCAGCTTGTTTATACTGCAAGACAAAGACTTCAGCGTTTTGGTATGAAGGTTTAGCAAATTATGTAAAAACTCAGCTAGTTAAATTCACTAAGAAATTACATAGTGCAGGAGGAAAATTTCAGTAGGTTTGTCATGAAATTTTTACAAATGAACTAAATAACTTCGGCATCTTCTGCTGAAGTTTCTGAAAAAGCTCATGACAAAACTATTGAATCTAGGACAAAACTTCAACATATTTAATGCTGAAATATTAGCAAATGAACTAAAAAACTTCAGCTTGTTTATACTGCAAGACAAAGACTTCAGCGTTTTGGTGTGAAGGTTTAGCAAATTATATAAAAACTCAGCTAGTTAAATTCACTAGGAAATTACATAGTGCAGGAGGAAAATTTCAGCAGGTTTGTCTTGAAATTTTTACAAATGAACTAAATAACTTCAGCATCTTCTGCTGAAATTTCGGAAAAAGCTCATGACAAAACTATTGAATCCAAGACAAAACTTCAGCATATTTTAGTACTGAAGTATTAGCAAATGAACTAAAAACTTCAGCGTGTTTATACTGCAAGACAAAGACTTCAACGTTTTGGTGTGAAGGTTTAGCAAATTATATAAAAACTCAGCTAGTTAGATTCACTAGAAAATTACATAGTGCAGGAGGAAAACTTCAGCAGGTTTGTCTTGAAATTTTTACAAATGAACTAAACAACTTCAGCATCTTCTGCTGAAGTTTCGGAAAAATCTCATGACAAAACTATTGAATCCAAGACAAAACTTCAGCATATTTTCGTGCTGAAGTATTAGCAAATGAACTAAAAAACTTCAACTTGTTTATACTGCAAGACAAAGATTTCAGCGTTTTGTTATGAAGGTTTAGCAAATTATGTAAAAACTCAGCTTGTTTAGTATCATGTTCTAGCAAACAAACCAAAAACTTCAGCATGTTTGTCCTCATGACAAAAATGTTGAATGCCTATGTGTCCTACATTTAACAGTATCCAGAAATAAATTTATTCTATAACTTCATGCAAGTGTGATTAAAATATATGGTTTGATTGAATTAAAACTTCAAAAACTAATTTGAATTCTGAAGATGATTTGCAATACTTACAATGTATTTTGTAATTTTGAATTTGGAATTTGAATCTGGTTCAACTTTCTGGTTTCGTAATTATGGCAGATGCGAGAGAAGATCTGAGGAGGGACGGAGTGATGGAGGAGAACCGTAAAGTGATTTTTGCGTGATGCATCTTTTATATGTTTTGTCAGGGGTATAATGGTCATATTATTACGGATGTTTTGTCAACCGGGTACCAAATCAATAATTTTAAAAATAGGGTACAGGATAAAAGGTAGCACAAATATAGGGTATGACTGCAAATCCCCTTAGTCAGGCACATTAAATATTTGTACTCAATTTTTAAAAAAAAATTTAACTTATTACTGATGAACTATGTCAGAGTTCCCTTTTCATTCAAATACTTTTTTACTATTAATGGAAGATAGTTTTAAAATAATAAAAAAGTTACAAAAAAAAATATGATTACTAGAATCGGATAGTAGCATTTCATAATGCTTAGGTGAGAATGTTCTTCCGAAATATATTTGCAACTATATTGGTGCATTACAATTCAATTGATGTTATAAAGTTGTGGGAAACATATTAGACAAATTTAGAAGAATACATGACAGCTCATCTAATAATTAATTAGAATACATGATGAAAAGCATTAATTATTCTTAAAGAATGCGAGCAGGAGTGTAAAAAAAATATGATACACCTAACTTGATCCGGAACTAGATGATCCCGAACTAAATCTTGATCAACAACAAATTGTCAAGTTACAAAAAGTTGACTCTGACTTAAAGAAAAGAATTGAAGCTACATGTTAAGGTCTTGACGCAAATAGACTCATGCTGTAGGAGCTATATGTGGTATAGGACTAATATGATTACAAAAGGAATATTAGTAGCTTGGGATAAAATTTGTACTCTTAAGTCCATGAGTGGTTTGAATCTGATTAATCTACAACTTTAAAATAAGTTGTTATTGCCAAGACCTGCCGGGATTTAGCTTACAAAGAGGATAAACTATGGATCAGATGGATCCATACTTAATACATCAAAGGCAAACAACTGAATGAGATCATTATGCCTCAACAAGCATCATGGATGGTTAGATAGATTATAGGAGCTAGAAGTGCACTAGAACAAGTTCAATGTTCACCTTTATAGAAGCAGAATATGATGAGAAACATTTACTTGTAACTATTACCCGACTGTCCAAGAGTCCTATGGAAGTGCTTGGTATTCAAAAATGATGCTCAACCTAAGGCCAAATTTACCATGTGGCTACATTTTCAAGGTAAATTATTGACAACTGACAAGGTGATAAAATGGGCACTACCTGTTAATCCAACCTATATCCTGTGGCAAGCCCATGATGAATCCAAAGACCACATATTTGTAAACTGTATGTTTGCAAAGAGTCTATGGGCAAGAGTTCTATAATGGTTGCAAAAAGACCATGTGACTGCTGCAACATGGCAACAATACCTCACATGGGCTATCAGGTGTTACAAGGGAAGATCTCAATATGCTCAACTATTTAGATGATATTTGCAGAATGTGTCCATGCAATTTGGATGGAGAGGAATCAAATAATCTACGAGGAAAGGAGTAGGAGCTGGGAACTTATTACAAAGGAACACATGCACTATTCGAGTTGGACCTGGGATAAAAACTATACTTCAGCATTTTATGTTTTAAAAATTTTGGTTGTTAGTAGGTGTTTCAGAGTTTTTTCGTTTTGTTTGGATAGCTAGCTGAGATTTAGCTATGTTATGGTTTTGTAAAGATACACTTGGTGATTAATAGGAAAAAGTTAGTTATAAAAATAATAGATGACTGAAAGAGCTATTTTAGCTAGCAGAAATAAATATATAGATCAATTAAATTAGATGATGATTGCGAAGTTTCCTGGTGAAAGAAAAATATTTTTTAGATTTGACTCGGTAAAAGATAATACCAATTAGAACTATTACCAGGAAGAATATTTAAAATACTATAACACCAAATAATCTTTTGCTACACATATTTGTTGTCAAGTTAAACATATTTTGTATATCTTTAGAATTTAGCGTTTGCGACATGAAGGATATCCTTTTAAATTCGTCTAAATTTTTTTTAAAACTATATTTACTATATTTTATATAAATAATTAACTAAAAACTAAAAATCTATGTGCAACGCACGTACATAGAAACTAATTCATATAAAAGGTGAGATAAGTTAGCCAAATTATAACTCTAGTTTAATTCTTAAAATTATAATCCTGGAATATCCTAGTTTCGGACAAAATCACCCATATACCCCTGAACAGTTTTAATTCTTAGTATAAATGACAATATTTCAATCAACTCTCTACTTCAACCCTGTTTAAAGCCCCTAACTTTATTTATTTTCTTTTTGCTTAAGACCAAACTGTACAACGTCACATACTTTCAAAATGCATTTAAGATAGCACTTAATAAAACTATCTAATGTGGCTTTACAATAGTAGAGAATTACTTAATCAAATGCTGCTAATGAATTTCCTTCCCGAAAGATTTCCAACTTTTGGGAATTCTCTCAATCATCCCACATGGAGCTCATTTCTTTTTGCTGTTCGAAACTCATTTCTTGTTGCTGCTGATGCATTTCATGGGAATTCCTTTGTCTCATTCCCCCTATCCCAAGAAAATCAAGTGTCAAGCTATCATTCCCACTCTCTCCATTAATCTTTGTTTCATTAAATAAACCATTATACCACCCCTGATTTTGCATTCTTGAAGTCATCTGATGATGATCACCAGTAGTACTCCTATTCGAATTCAATAGTTCTGAAATCAACGTTTCTTGAGTTCCATTTTGTGACACAGACCCAAAAAATCCATGCACAGAGCTCCCTATTTGTGTTTGATGATCATGATCACTTTGAAACAGAGAAGGGTACCCTTTTTGTACCATTATTGGACTAGAGTTGATGCTACTGCTCACAGTTGCTCCCATTTGAGCTGCTTGTTGTAACAAAGCTGTTGCTGATGATGACATATTCGACGAATTTTTGCTCAGCTGAAAACCAGAAAAAGAGGAAGAAGTTAAGTTTCTTGGACTAGTAAACATGCTTCCTGCCATGTTTAATAAGGGTCCTGTAGGTGTTTGAATATTGAGTTTGTGTGGTGAAGGTTTTAATGGAACTTTCATGTTTGAATTTCTGATTTCTGGTAAGTTCAACATGCTATTGGACATGAGTTCAGAAACTTGGGTATGGCTAGGTCCTGTGGTTGAAGCTATACTTTGGTTTACTTTGTTGTTTTCTTCAGTTAAGGCATCACAAAAGGCTCTGTGAGTAACAAAGCTATCCCTCCTGCATAAGATAATAAAATAGGTCATTAATTAAGTCAATCTCAAGCAATGAACAAAGGAATTAAAAAATGTGCATGAGAGTGATGGTATTACCTAAATATGTTTAGTTTTGGACGGCCCTAAATTATAGTGTAGCCACAAACATTCAGAAGTCAATTATTTCTTGCAGTGATGACCAAAGAAAATACTAACCTATGAAACTTATTCATTCTATTGTTTTTATCTTCTGATTGCAGACCTGAATCAGTAGTTTAATCGCTATTGTTATCAGATCCAATTGTTTAAGACATGTTTTAAATCTCCTGAAGTCAAACAAACATCAAATTAAAAGTAATTCTCATGAACTTGGTTCCAAATGGTATTGGTCATTTTGGAGACTGAAAAAATTTGTATTGTTTAGTACAAACATCCCAATTCTTACTATTTGTCGTACTATAATATTAATATATAAAAGAAGTACCTAATGAAGTGTCGAATGACATTTGAAAGTAAGGTAGATAGTCAAGGGATCCATCTTTTCTAGATGCTAAAACTGAAATATTAGCTACACTTTTTAATAGTTCAAGTTTTTATCTAATATGGTCACATATTTTAATATGATATCGAACAAACAAAGATCTTAAGATTTAGTCTTAGTGTCGCACATTATACTAAAGAATTTTCACGTCTCTTAGCTCACAGTCCCACGTGTGCAAATGCATGTTGAAGATACAACTAAGCAAATAAATCTATACATTTTTTCTGAAAATTTTAAGTTTTTAGATAAGATTGTGACTAAGAAAAAATAATTAACCTGGAGAAGATGGTACCACAGTCACATTTGTACTCTTTAGTGCCACACGTTTTGGAATGGGCTTTCCAGTCAGATTGCACTGCATACTTTTTAGAGCACTTGTCACATTTCCATTTCTTTTCACCATGTTTACGCGAATAATGTTTCTTAATCCCCGTCAGATCTCCAAGTGCACGAGCAGGATTATGGTGGATACACGTTGGTTCAGGGCAAATATACACTCGCCGTTTCTTTATCTCATCACTGCTTGTTTTTTGCTTTAGCTTCCACGGCAGATTGTGTCCTCTCCTGTGTAGTTGAAGGTTTTGTTCCCTTTGGAAGCCTTTGTTGCATACTTCACATATGAACCTGTTTGTTGCCATTAGGGTCTTTGGTGATAAGGCAATTACTTCAGAACTAGGATCTGCATATATATGTCAAACAAACTTTGAGTTTTATATATACACTAATATTATTGGGCAAGTTACACACCGGTCGACAAAAAACAATTATATTTGCTAGTCAATATATAAAAAAATATGTATATTATACATTAATATATAAAAAAATATATTATTTTCTAGAACAGACTATATTGTATAATTTTACCAATAATATTTAAGTGTTAGATGGAGCAAGTGATTTATATATGATAAGGACCGTTTTGAGAAATTGAAAGTCCATGCCGGTATAAACTAGGAGGTCAATCTAATCCCCATTATTACAAACGAAGTAAGCACCAGTACTTTTTTAGGATGACTAGGCAGTAGTATTACCTACTTATAAAAGATTGTACATTCATCTTAATTTATATACAATAGGCAAAATGTCATCCGAACCACTTAAACTTGTACCCATTTTTCAACCCGGTAAAAGAATTTACGTGTTTCCCATTTGAATATCGAAACTTGATAAAAACATAAAAAATAAGCACCCCAAACTGATTGTGTGCCTCAATCACTTAGACATAATTGACACATCACGTTGTTCGAATATATTGTTTGACACGTTTAATTTGTGGGTCCTAAACTTTATTTAACAATTTTATTAAAATTTCTGGGAATGTTTTTTTGTTTCTTCTTCCTCGGGTGGCCACTAGAACCTTCCACCATAAACACCTCCTTCCTCTACTCTAAAACTCCCAAATCAATTACAAAAAATAGTGAAAAATCTTTAATAGGAGTGACGAAGGCCTTGCACGAGTATTCCTATCAATTCCCACCATTCTTCTTCAGTTTTATTATCGCCGATATCACAATTCCGATTATATTTCGCCGAAAATTTCTGCGAAGTGTTGTTAGCCCTCTGGTTCCTTCTCATTCAACAAAAGATCAATTTTCTTGTTATATTCCCTTCTGAGACAGGTCCCGAATCCCTTGAAATTGGATGAGCCACTATTCGAAGTTATACTGGCACCAGCAAGCTCGCCTGAGTGATTTATGCGATTGGGTAAATTTCAAACCTTCTCTACCCATAAAAAAATAAAAAGATCCCCAACATGGCTATTCCGACCAACCCCTATACTTCTTTCCTCAATTTCGAATCCGTCGGCATCTGTATTTCGCCCGTCTCCCCCTGCGATCTGTTTGTTATAGAAAAGATGTGCTTTATATGGTTGAAAATGGTGTTATGAGGGGCAGATGACAGCGGAGAGGGGGGGGGGGGGGGGCCTTTTTTTTTTAATTTTATTTTTAGCTTTTACTTCATTTTATTTATTATTTGTAATTTTATATTCTTTTTGTCTCATATTCATTGTATACACGCGCTTCACAAGCGTGATTAGCACACATTTTGCCACGTCGGTTACATTGCTGTCATGTAATTATGGTCAACGGTCAAAGAGGTTTAAAAATATGCAAATGAATAAGTTGAAGTGTTCAAATGAGAAATGCATAAGTTCCTTTGCCGGGTTGAAAAACGGATGTAAGTTTAAGTGGCCCGGAGGCCATTTTACCTATACAATATCATTATCTTGATAAATAATTTATTGTTTTATAGAGCAACCTTTCTCCATCTTTTAGAAACTTTCAAACGTTTAAGGAAAAGGAAACAGATAGAGAAGATGCAGACATGACAATCCATGCATGCACAGGAAATATATAGAGAATTCCTTTCAAACAGTAAAAAACAAAAAGAAAAGGAGAATTATACACTATATGATTATGCCAGTCCAAGGCAGCATGCAACAGTTTACTCCAATTATTGAATTCCCCCAACCAATAATTGACGTATTGAACCCTTCAACTACCTACATATACTTATCACTTTCCAATTTCCCTAACTCCCATTTTTATATTTAAACAAATACTCCACCTCCACCATATATTATTATTATTATTATTATTATTATTATTATTATTATACCGTTAAAAGAAAGAAATTAAAACAAAACAAAATTTGTAAAATCCAAAATCCTTTATGCATGAATGTCTGTCGTCAAACAAATCGAATCTTCTTACCCGGCCATATTGAAGTTATCAAACATCTAATTAACTTGTTTTAATCTATAAGTTCTACTCCAACCTCATATAAATTGAGCTGATTAATTACCTGTTTTAATCTAAAAATTACACTTGAGCCTCATAATAAACTATAGTACTACTACGTATTTATTAGAGAGTGATCCAGTTACTATATAAGTTATACTAATAACTAGTACTAGTAGCTACTTTGTAACACAGAACTAATATGAAAAACTGTTAGATCAAACCATCATCAGAAACAAATTACTAGTAATTAAAAACTTGAAAACCACTATCGAAGAAGAAGAGAAAAACGTAGTAAAACTACAACACAAGGTGAAAAAATGAGCTGATAATAAAATTTACCAGGATTTCCAGGTAATTTCCTTCTCTTCTTATTAGGAAGATCTTGCTCTTGGTGAACACTAGAGGGCAACACGTTAGAAGTTTGCTGCTGATCTTGCTCTTCATATTCTTCTTCTGCACCTGCAGTACTACTATTCCCAGAAGAAATGTTTGACATTGAAAAAAGGCTGAAAAAGAGATCTTTTTGGGTGGAAATCTTTATGTTTGTCTTGATCTCTTCTTTTCAAGAAAACAACTTTTTCCAGTTTGTTCAGTTAGCTTCTGTTTGATCAATGAGGCTCTATTTGGACTTTTTTTTGTTCTTTGGCTCCTAGCTTTTATATCTTGAGATAATTGGAAACTAACAAAACTTAGGATTTAGAGAGCTGTTTAAGAGAGAACGACAAGAACCAGAAAATTCTCCCTGATTTCTGGTAATTAAAGAAAGAGATCGAAAGACAGAGAGGAGAGAGAGAGTTCTGGGTGGGGGTNTGGTCTTCTTGTATATATGATGTACAATGATGGAATTGTTTTGCTTTTTTGCCCAAGTTTATTTTATCAACTCTTCTAATAGTTAACTATAGTCTATTCATAATTTGATTGTGATTCTAAACAAAGACAAGTGGTTAGAATCTTTGAATTCAATTCAGATAGAACATTATATTGATAAGTTTTATATTTTCAAGCTACTCCCTTGGGATACTAATCCAATTTTGGAGTTTGGATATTAACTGCCTCTTTGTCTGATGGCATTAGTTAAAAGTAGATTAAAAAGGTTATTGGTTTTAATTAATATTAAACCTTGTCTTTTAAATAGGATTAGGATAAAATGGTGCTCGTGAGTAGTGTGTTTAGAGATAATGCCAAAATTAGTGATTTAGTAATAGTAAATTTGGCTACATACTTATATTGATTATAAGCTAAAATTTAAGGTTAATTTCTTTTATTATTAAGAGGCGGTTCTTTAATTAATAAAACAGACACTAGCAAATTAACTGCTTCTAGCTATTCATTCAATACAAATAACATTATATTTCTCCAAATGAATAATGTTCTTCTTCTTTCAATATTTTCGCCTTTTCTTTTCAGGAAGGAGAAGGGGTCTTCACTTTTAATTTTAAAATAAAATGATATACGGGTCCCCTAATTATAAAACAAAAGTCAAGTTCCAAGTATAAGTTTGATGTTAACTACCATAATACATAAGTTGATGTTAACTACCAAAATACAAACTATTAACTATATATATGAAAAAATGTAATATATATAGTAATATTTTTCGTCCTATTTTCGTCCTCATGTCTACATATAAATGATCATATAGATCAAGTGGTAGTGGCCATTGGCCAATAGGTAACTATAGGTAGGAAATGTTCTCATTTTTGGGTGACTTATAACATTGCTAATTTTCTGATTTCTATCACTACCTATTAGGTATTTCACTTCTTTATTTTGTTATCTTGGTGTTACTACTTGTTGTTATTGATTCTTCTTTTTCATCTTTTCTTGAGTCGAGGTCTATCGGAAACAACTTTTTTATCTTCTCAAAGTATGGGTAAGGTATGCATACACATTACCCTCCCCAAACTCTATTTATGAGATTATATTGTGTTTGTTATTGTTGTTGTATATTATTGCTACTTAGGCCTTTAAGATTTCTTATAATAATGTTTGGTTTAATTGAAATCCTTTTGGCCCAATCCCTTCTCTCCTTATATGTACCAAAGAAAAAGTCTTTTGAGTATGAATTATAGGTGTTTAACGGGCGGGGCTGGGACGGGTTGTACACAAAAAAACCCAGCCCATTTGTTTAATGTTTCGGGCTGTTACCGGGCTGTACTTTTTCGAGTTTTTTTTTTGTCCGTCCGGGTTCGGGCCTACCGGGCTGTGCAATTTTTTTTTAAAGTAAATTTTATTTTTCTTATTCAATGTTATTGATACTTAAGTGTTTGTAAATTTTTAAGGCTTAGAATTGAACTTTGAAGTTTAAAGTTTTAAATTTAAAATTTGAAATTTGAATTTTACAAATTTAAAATTAAAATTTAAAAGTAAGTGGCTACAAAAAATTATTTAATAAGACCAATAGGCAATATGTAAGGATCAAGCTCCGAAGACTTTCATTTGATATTTTTATTGATTAATATATAATACTTCAAATTAAGTTGCAAGTTCTTTTTTGATTTTGTTATTTTTGAACTTATAAATTAAAAGTTTACAACAATTATAAAAAAAGAAAAAAAAATAGTACATCACATGCTTTGCATCATTTTTGTAAGTTCATCCATGTCAACATGAGGTTCTTGGTTTCCGACATTGGTTGAATCAGAACCATAAACCCTTATATCTCTAATTTCTTGGTCCTCCGCTTCATCTACCTCGTCACGCCCTTGATTTCGTCGTTCTGATCTTATCCAATCTCTGAAGCACACTAGAATTTTCAAAGCGTTGCTGCCCAATGAATGACGGGTATCTCACTACTAGAAATTCGGCAAAAACCGACTAAGGTCGACCGACCAATTTTGGTCGGTCAAAAAATCGATCAAAGTTGGTCGCTTTTTCAAAATATTTTTTTTTTACGAAACCGACCAACTTTGGTCGGTTTTCTTTAGTGCAAAAATGCGGGAAACTATTTTTGAGTCCCGCGAAATTTATTTTTCAAGAAACCGACCAACTTTGATCGGTTTTTCAATTAAAATAAATAAAAATTAATATTAAAAAAATCGACGAAAATTGATCGGTTAATTCGGCCGGTCATTTAAAAAAACTGACCAACTTTGGTCGATAATTTTACTTTTTAATAAAAGCGACCAACTTTGGTCGGTTATTTTCGTGCGAAAATACAATTAAAGAGTATAAATCAAATAAAAGACAGTCTTAAAATAAAATGTACCAATGGTCTAGTGGTAGAAAAGTATCCTGCCACAGTACAGACTCCGGTTCGATTCCCAAATGGTGAATCTTTTTATTACATAATTTATTTGACCGACCAAAGTTGGTCGGTAATTTCCGACCAACTTTGGTTGGTAATTTCCGACCAACTTTGGTCGGTATGCCTTACCGACCACAAAAATACCGTCCACACGTAAATGGTCGCGTTTTGGTCGATTTTTGGCCGTTACTGACCAACGTTGGCCTTTTTTTGGTTGGTTTTTACCGGATTTCTAGTAGTGTCTCTTAGTTGCTGCCTTGCTTGGCTAAATGCACTCTCTGATGCGACTGTTGAAATCGGCACATTTAGCACGTCTCGAGCCATGGCCGAAAGAATAGGAAATTGATTTGAGTTGCTCCTCCACCAACCCAGTGGTAGAAATTCCTTTGTGCGGGGCTCTGCTGACTTTTGCAAGTAGAATTGAAGTTCATCAATATTCCTGCTACTGGTTTGTTGATGCTCCCCTAGTCTAGACCAAATCAAATAATCTTCAACACCATCATTATCATCCAAAACATCGGTCCCAGATGTTGAAACTGAACTTGAAGGAATATTTGCATCTATAGCAGAAGAAGCATCAACAATGTTAGCATAATAATTATATAATGTTTCTAAATATTTGTGTAGATCAGAAATACAAGTGTCAATATCAGGAGTTTCAGTTGGTCCAAAAAAAAAATGTAACGGATAACGGGTTGAACCGGGTTGTAGCCCGATAAAAACCCGTTAACGGGCTTAGTGGGTTCCGGTGCACCAATATCAAAAAACTGTTCGTTTGAAACCCGCTCCTCGCCTGATCCGTCTCAGACCGCCCCCCACGCTATAGTACCGGGCTGACCCGGACTGAACCGGATTGTAAACGGATCAGTCCGACCCGGTTAACAGATATAGTATGAATGCAGGGTATATATGTTTGAACTTCTACAATGGCAACCTTATGTCGTACATTAAAATATTCGTCATACTATTGTGAATGCAACACAAAATTCCCCCAACAGTCAACACTACGAGGAAAAGAAAACGTATGCTGTTCTTGTCATATTTAAAATTTATCGGGCCATGAATTTCAGAAAAGAAAAGTTCAAGGGGCAATTATAATTAAACCTGAACAAAAAGACAGCTTTTCGGATATTGCCTGGCGGGCGAGTGTTTTTTTCTATTTTAGCGGTTTGTCCGCATCTGATAGTGGTCTAACGAAAGCCACGTATTTCCTGATTTACCCCTGTAGTTATTGCCAAACAACCAAATTGCCACGACAAAGCAAAGCAAAAGCCTAGGCCTGCAAAATGCCCGCCTGTACCCTCGTCACGTGTGGGCGCTGAATCAAAACCCCCTCCAAAACGAACCGACAATATAAAAACAAAATATTGTTCTCATCACATATATTGAATTTAAATTTGTAACTGTATTAGTCGAAATCTGCCCCATAATATTTAGTGTAAGGTAACATTGAGATTAGAGTTAGTCGGCGTCGATCAGAAAACAACGAGATTCGTGATCGAGGTGTTAATAATGGTCGAGGTCGAGCACCACAGAAAGAGTTGTAACAACTAGTTTGTATAATATGATATCAAAGAAAATATTCTAATGAATATTCTCTACACTTGTACTATTAGAATTTGTTAGGGGTATGTCCCATATAAACAGGAAAAAAGACCATGAATGAGGGCATGCAACATTCATTTGATAAGAGCATACTTTTGATAAAAGATTCTTTCTCTTGTAAAAATACAAACATCACATTTTCATCAAGATTCTTGTTCATATTAGTCCATACTTTTCTATCAAATCCTAGAATAACTCGAACATTCTAGGATTTATCTGTCACTCATCATTGTCACGAGAGGAACAATTATCTAGTTCATCATTTATTGGGTGAATCACTTCTCTTATTTACTTAAATGTCATTTATTGTTATTTATTGTTAGTTATTTCTCTATTGTTGCTCATGCTTTTCAGAATATTTAATGCATGTTATCAATCCACCACCGGATCTATTTAATGTCAGCCACATAGTTTAACCGATCATTATATAAATACAAATATTTTGGCCGAAACGAGCCGAGGGTCTTTCGGAAACAACATCTCTACCTCTTCGGGATAGGGGTAAGGTCTGCGTACACAATACTCTCCCCAAACCCCACTAATGAAATTTCATTGGGTTGTTGTTGACTTCTTGTTGTTGTTGTTTTGGCCGAAAGTTACATTTTTTTTGTCAAACAGTAACATTACATTTTGCTCTCCTAACCAATTTCATTAATTTGATGTATATACACTTTTTAGCTATCAAGATACTTGATTGAATTTGTGTGCATCTCGATAATCTACTAGTAACTTCAATCTCTAATTAATAAACACCAAATATGTATTAGATAAATAAAATAACTTCGCGTAACACTGATTTTTTATATTTATTACTTCTCACTAGTATATAAATATAAATATGATAATTTTGTTCTTCAAAACTTAAACGAATTAAAAGTGGTGAGGTCCAAATTGTGGTTCCTATTATTGATCAAAAAATTCATTCATAATTTTTTGAGTGCTCATTGAAAC